TGAACACAGGCTTCTCTGCCCCCCCAGGGTCTGGGGGTTTAACCACACAGCATTGTTGAAAAGCACGACTTTTCCTTTGAGGACTAAGATGCACCTAACTCAAGCCATGGTATCTTCCATTGCCTCATATGCATGTGAGAGTTGGCCATGGGGTGAAGAAGAGTGAAGAAGAACTGGTAAGTTTGAACTGTGATGCTGGAGGAGAATAGTGAAAGTATCACGGACTGCTAAAGGACTAAGCAATCTGTCTTGGAAGAGGTACGGCCAGAGTGTTCCTTAGGGGCAAGGATGGTAAGACTTCCTTTTACATACTTTGGATATGTTGTCAGGAGAGACCAGTCCCTGGAGAAGGACATCATGCTGATAAAACAGAGGGGCAGCAGAAAAGAGGGAGGCCCTCCATGAGACGGACTGACGCTGTGGCTGCCACAATGGGCTCAAGCCTAGCAACCATTGTGACGTAGGTCCATGAGTGGGCAGTGTGTCCTTCTGTTGTGCATAGGCTTGCGATGAGTTGAAACTCACTTGATAGCACCTAACAACAACAACAACAACAACAACAACAACAACAACAACAACAACAACAACAATGACTTCACCAAGCTCTTCTTCTTACCCAAAGATGCCTTTGGGTAAACCTGACCCTCCAACTCTAGGTTAACATTCTGCTTATGAACCCTTTGCACCACCCAGGAATTCCCATGCACATTGGCTTTCAAAACTAGTACTGATGGTGGTGATGGTGACAGTACAAGCAACGGCTGGCTGCATCATTTCTCTCCTCCCAGCACACCTGAACATTGGTGGGGTGCTCCTTGGAGGGGCTCTTACGGTAGACAGCAGACATGCAGGACATGAGGCAACCTGTGGTGTGGACCTGCTCAGACTAGATAGGCTGATGGGAAAAATGTGCCGGGATTGGGAAATGTATGCGAGAAGGGAGATGTAGATATAGATGATATAGATGCAGTTATAAATAGGTAGTGTGTGTATGCTGGTGTCTGAGCAGTCAGGCCCCCATATAGGAGAATACATCTGTGAATGCATTCATGCATGTTTTCCAACATGGAAACGAGCGTGAACGGGATGTCTCCAAGGGCCAGGGGCAAGTGGGGACACCAGGGACATGGCTTTCAGTCCCAAGCATTTCTGGTGCCTCAGAAGGAATCCATTTCACCATAGCTGCCCGATGATCCACACCCCCTGTCGTCAAAGGGCTCTGGTTAGTGCAAACAGGCTGCCCTCTACTGCAAACCTGCCCACAAGCACTTTGGAAGAAAGGCCTGGTGATCTGCGTAAGGACCACAGTCAAGAGAACCCTATGAAGTGGCTCTTCTCTGAAGCACATGCCTTCTTGGTAATTGCAATTCATTCAACAGCCACAGATCACGTGTTTGTCCTCAGCCACCCGCCCTCTCTTTGGAGGATCACTACCCTCGGTGACAGCGGAGAAGCCCTGGTGGCATCATGGGTTCCCCAGTGGGCTACTAACAGAAAGGACAGCCGTTCAAAGCCACCAGCCACTCCATGGGAGAAAGATGAGGCTTTCTGCCCCCTTAGAGAGTTATAGTCTCAGAAAGCCATAGAAGCCGGTCTACCCTGTCCTGTAGGGCCGCCAGGAGTTGGAATCAACTTGGCAGTGAGCTTAAGTTTAAGGGGAAATGTATATTGGTCTTCTAAATAGTACCTTATTCTATTTCAGTTCTTCAGAATGTTCCACATCATCTGAAACCCTGGTTTTGTAAGCTACTGCCATGTCCTGTCCTGAGGGCAGCTAGCACCTCCCTAAGCCAGGCTGGGGCTTTCTGCCCCAAGTTCTACCACATTTAATCCTGCGTGTGGGGAGTGGATTCATGTGCATCTTTGTATTTCTCACCTCAAAACATGAATGAGAGTGAGAGAGAAAATGATAGTGTGAGAAACAAAACTGTCAGAACCAAATGGCCTCTCTGCAAGGCAGTGTAGCAAGATGTGGGGGGAAAAAAAGATGCTTTTAAAAAGGTGCTTGTGTTTTGACCTAGTAATTCCACTTTGAGAGGTGTACCAGCAAGGGTGAGGGGCTCCCCCAAACCTTTCAGGAGCATCCCTAACACCCATAGTCCCTGCAACCTGGTGAGCGAAATCACCATGGTAAACGGGGCCACTGAAGACCTGTTTTTGACATGGAGCCCTGGTGGTGTCGTGGTTAAACTCTGTGCTGCCAACTACAAAGTCTGTGGTTCAAAACCACCAGAGGGTCTGAGGGAGAAGCCGGAGTTTTCTACTCCTGTCAAGAGTGACAGTCTCAGAAACAGGTGCACCTCTACCCTGTCCTATACGGTTGCTATGAGTTGGTGTTGACTCGGTGGCAATGAGTTTGGGTTTGGTGTTTTGACCTGGAAAAAGGTGTGTGGAAGGGTGTCAGTGGAAAGAAGGGTGCATGAAAGGAAGGTGCTTGCAGGGCCAAAAGATGACGTCAAACTACACAATGGTGGGGGGCTATTCTTGATTTTGAAATATGTAATAAAAGCTAGATGGTGGCTATGGTGTTGGAGGTGGTCACGGTGGAGGTGGCGGGGATGGTGAGTTTGAAGGTGGCCACACTGGAAGGGGCTGCCTGGCCTTGATTTGGTTTTCTTCCCTGGACTTTCCCTCTTTTCTGTAAGGACCCAGCAACGCGTTTTGAAGAAGAGAAATTAAAGGAAAGAAAGAGGAAAGAAGGGAGAAAGAAACAGAAAGATGCGGGAATGGACAGGCCGAGGGAGGAGGAAGAAAAAAGTTTGTGGGAGTGTCAGCCAGGCAACAAGTGAGTGCAGAAGTCCAGCCCAGGCCCTGCAGTTCCTGGCTTGGCGCACTGAGGCTCTGAAGGGCTGGAGGCCCCCAGATCCAGCCTCTGCACGCTCTGTCCACCCTGTTCCCGCTGCGCCAGCTCAGGGTGAGAGCCAGAGTCCTGGGGCTCTGGCCAGCCCTCCCTCGAGAAGGGTTTGGGGGGCGGTTGAGGGTGGGAAGAGGAAGAGTGGATGGGTGGGGAACTGCAGAAAGACCATCTGTGCCTTTTTGAAAAGTTATTTTCAGTTTAAGTGCTTTTAAAGCAAAACGGAAAAGAAGACCAGCAAACAAACACAAACCAGAAAACAAAGCCCGAACTCTTAGTGTCCCTTTCAAAAGTTTTCTTGGGGGTGGTGGTGGCGCTGAACTGGGGGGTCTCCTTTGCCCTAATGCCGAACTTCTCGACCACACTGAGCCCCCAGACTGGTTCACTGATACCAGGTGCACCCCCAGAGAGTCCAGGTTCCAAACATAGACCTAGGACCAGAGCCCAGGATGCTTAATTGTCCCGCTCCACTCTCAGACTCCTTGCCCTGGCCCTGCTCCCTGACACTTTCTGACTCCAGGTGTCAATGACTCCGTGTGTGTGTGTGTGTGTGTGTGTGTGTGTGTGTGTAGCTGGGAGTGGGGGATGAATCTGAGAGATTGAGTGGTCTTCACCCAGAGGGTTGAGGTGGGGGCAGGGGAGCTGGAAGGACCAGAACTTAGTCCAACTCTCCCTCCCCTGAGCCCAGGGTCACCGCCCCCTCACCCCTCTCCACTCCACCTTGAGCTGCAGGGAGGTGGTGGGAAGTCAGAAGAGGAAGGGTGTGCTCCTCCCTGGTCCACTCCCAGTAAGTCCCTCCAGCCATCATACCCTCCCCTGCAAGGTGGAGACAGCTTCTACGCAGGTGCAGGCCAGGCAAAGGGGCGCCTAGGTAGCATGGAGGCAGTGAGCATGCCTGAGCCAGGGACCTTAAAAAGCCCCTCACCCCAGCAGCTGGAAATGAGACCAGTGGCTCCAGGACCCCTACCCCCCGCCCCCCACCGCTGCCTCAGAGCACAGGGGCCCAGGGGAGACCTCCTCTCCTGCCTGCTCCTCCTTCCCAGGGTCACTATGGGGACCAGAGGAGGCAGAGATGTACGTAATCCCTGTCACTATTCAGAGCAAAGAGAAAAATCACAGGACCTAAGCAACAGCACTTTACTGCAAGCCTTTATTATTGTATCATAAAAGAAGTTATATATACAAGGAATATTTCCAATAAAACACCAAATAGCCTTGAACCAAGAGCACTCACTTGAGGGTCCCCCGCCCTGCCCCAACTCTACCATCCAAATTCAATTCCTGGGAACTCCAGCATCTTCTCCAGCGCAGGGACACAGTGAACCTCCAAGATGCCTGCCTCTCTAAGGTATCTCAAAGCATAACCCCTGAATTCCCTCTCCCCGCCCCCCTCTCCCTCTTAAGGTGGTCCCCTGTCAGAAACCCAGAGTACCTTTCCCCTCGCGGTTTAGGTGCGGCTGCGAGTCCCCTGCATTTCAGAAGCAGCTCGTGGTCAAGACCAGTGAGAGGCAGTTCGTCATCAGCAGTGGGGCTGCAGAGCACCGAAAACAGGAGGGGAAACGGCCCTGCCCCCCCCCCCTTCCCTTCTCCCGACGCAGTGACAAGAAACACACACAAAAGCAACAGGGCACCCCCCTCCTCGCGTGCAACAGGTGTGGGTGCCAGGCAACTAGCGCGCGCTCATCGCGGTAATGCAGCCTAGCTGCGCTCTGGGCGCGCGCGGGCGCTTGCGAGTTCTCTGCGCTTCGCTCCAAGCAGCTCAGGGCCACCTCTTCTGATGGAGGGCGGCTCTCCCTCCGCTCTATGGGGAGGGGGTGCGAGAGAGCGCGCGGCAGCGCCTGCAGAGGCTTAGGTGGCTGGGAGTCCTAGGGCACACTGGCAAGGGTGAGCACCACTATCACGCTCCCCTCCAAATTGCATTTAGAGCGAGCCAGGCAGGTACAGTCAAGAGAGAGGTCCTGAAGCTGAGCCGCGGGGAAAGTCTTTTGGTGGCTCAACCAAGGGCACAGAGTCCGCCTTCGTCTCCTGGCCTGGCGCTCACCTGCCAGGGGGGTCTCTCCAAGGGTGGTTTCTTTGGGGGGGGGGGCTTGCACGTGGGCCTCGAAGGCACGACCGCGCAGCCTCCCGAGTTCCATCAATTGTCCACCATTGTTCACACCCGGCGGGGTTGAGCGCGGTGCTGCTGCTCGCTGTATTGCTGCAGCCAGGTGCGCAGCTCTGCCACTTGGTAGCCGTCAGGCCCCCGGCCGCCCTGGAACATGACCGTGCCATTTTGGATGACGTAGAGGCGCTCGAAGTAGGCGCCATAGGCCGAGCTGCTGGAGTTGGTCATGGTGTCGAGAACAAGGGCACAGTCAGGCGCACCTTGCTGCAGCACCCGCGCCGCGCTGACACGGTCTTCCAGGCTCCGGTGCTGCGGGATGCTGTAGGGGGAATCTGTGGTCACCCAGCCGTCCGAGGGGTGCGCTTCCTCGATGTAGATGATGAGGAAGTCCACCTCGCCCCGGTACTTGGAGACCAGGCGCTGGAAGGCGCTCATGCGCGCCATGAACGGAGGTCAGGTGCAGCTGCCGAAATTGAGCACCAGCGGGCGGCTCCCGCGCGCGTAGTCGAGGATGTGCTGGCTCTGGAAGCCGTCGGGCAGGACCACCTCGGAGTTGGGCGCCGGGCCGCCCTCGTGCGCCTGTTTGAAGAAATCCAACTTCTGGCCATGCCACACAGCCTTGAGCGACGCCAGGGTGCATAAGCGGTTGTCATCGGACACGCAGATTGGGGGGTCGTCAGGGGGCACCTCCTCCCCGTCGCTGTTCAGCTCCACCTCGGGCTCGGGCTGGCCCCTGCGACGGCGGCCCAGGAAGTGCTTGCGGATGCACAGGAAGTCCAGGAGCCAGAGCATGAAGGCAGTGCCCAGGAAGCGCGGGAAGAGCACGAGGCACGAGGCCGTCTGGGCACAGAGGCGCAGCGAGTGAAGCAGCAGGGAGCGGAGCATGGTGGC